GTGGGTGCGGTTGGGCCTCGCTCTAAATACTTTAAAAGTGGTAAAGGGTGGGGGGGTGAAACCCCGAAAAATATGACATTTAGGGGTTTCACAGGCTAATTTAATTGATTTTATAGATAGTCTACTATGTAGAAATACATATAATTTAAATTAAACTTAAAGCATTATACCGGGTTATAAGATATTTTAATTGTATTCAAATATTAGTTCAAACACTATTTTCTTATTGGCATGTGTCTTCCTCACTAAAACTCTCATAGGGATATAGAGGTTTAAATATAAAGCTACTTTTTGGTAGTGCTGAAAATAACTCAGTCAGAAACATACCTGGTCGTTGAACCAAATTTTTCGTGTTTGGCTAAATTCCTTGAACATTCCAAATTGTGGATCAAGAATTTCTTGAAAAATCAGCAAAAAGAACTCCTGTCAATAAAGCACATAAAACCTTTCATATTTTAATTAATAAAAAAGTGTAATACTTCATCAGATTTACTGTAATTTGGATCACAAAGGCATCTTTTCAGTTCATTTAATACAGTACTGCATCTTAAACAAATAGAAATAATAATGGTACCAATACATAAATAGGAACATCGATCAAGCATTCTATCTAGAATAGCCATTCAATGAAAAGTTCTGACTCCAGACACATTCCCTCTTACAACTAACATTTACCACTTTTACACACATATACCCGATTCACACGTACAAAAATCTTACCAAATGTAACAAAATGTAACCAAAAGTAACATTTTACGGCACGTGTGAAAGTACCTCCGTGTAATATCCTTGTAAAATCTCGGAACATCTCGGTAATCTTTACCAGCCTCACTGAGGCTGGTAAAGCTCCCGAGATGTAGCATGGATGGATTTGCGCATGCGCAGGGATTTCAACACAACAACAATCTACTGTGTTTCACGGGGTTCTTTGAATTTTTGAATTTTTGAATAGATAGGCCTAGTTTTTCTCAATGATGAATGCATTACCCTTGTTATTGATGTTAATTAGTAATGGTAGAAGAAGATATACATAAAATGAACGTCGGGATGGTGTTAGTACTATTACTAGTATTATCAAGAGTCGACAGAAACGTTGGAAGCTATGCCTAGTTTAGTAGTAGTGAGTAGTTTACAGCAGTTAAGGGCATTGATTGCTTCGAATGTTTACAGTGATGGTGAGTTCAACAGTCCATCTGTGACAGGGGTTCTCAACTAGGCCTAGGCTAGACCTATATCGCGGTAGGGGAAAAAATGATTCATTGAATAAACACTGAGTAAATTTTACACGAATTTTCTTCCTTCTGCAGACGATTCTGATCCACTAGAAATAGATAGGCCTAGTTTTTCTCAATGATGAATGCATTACC